CAGAGTAAAAAGAGGCGTTGGCACGTGGGGAAAGTTCCGAGCGGGGAGTCGGAAGGCCTGGTCTTTCAGGGACTTGTGTGACCTTGAGCAAGATGTGGCCTCAGCTTCCCTCCCACCATCTGCTCGGGGGCAGCTCTTGTCCCCACCGGCTTCTCCCCCTCCCTCCCACTCCCTCTCCCCCCCCCATCCCAGAGCTGTTGTGCGTTCAGAGCCAGAGCGGATAATGGATGTGAGGCCCCGGGGTTCCGTGTAATTCTGATTAATATTAATGATTTGACATGCAGTCGCCTGCTGTGCTGCAGGCCCGGGGCCAGCTGCCTCTCAGCGTGGGGGCTGCAGCAGGAGAGGCTGGACCTTTCCCCTCCCCCTGGCCCCGCAGCTCCGGGCACCCACTACATTCCAAGGGTTTTTAATCCTTTCTCTTCCGTCTTTGCCCCCAGATTTTTTCCCTGGGCCGCTGCCCCAGCCAGGACTGGCTGGCCGTCGGCATGGAGAGCAGCAGCGTGGAGATCCTGCACGTCCGAAAGCCGGAGAAATACCAGCTCCACCTCCACGAGAGCTGCGTGCTCTCCCTCAAGTTCGCCTCCTGCGGTGTGTCTGCCAGGGCGGGGCGCCCGGCGGGGGCAGGGCTGCCAGAGCACAAAACACAGCAACAGCTGAAGCCCACAACAGAGAGCAGGACGCCCGGTCCGTCCGACTCTTAGATAAACAAGAGGTCGTTCCTTGGTGTAAGAATGTCCCAGGTACCTCCTGGGACATACACGGAAGGACACATATTTGCTAGCATAAGTATAGTAGCTCCCAAGTATTTTGTGGGACATACTTACACTAAGCAACGAACAATTTATGAGCATAAGTGTATCCCCAAAATGTGTGGGGCATATGTACACCAAAAAAGCAGCTAATTTGCTAGTGCGACTGTGTCTCAGATATTGCAAGAGAGATACTGAACTTTTTATTTATATTTATTTTTTAAATTAATTAATTAATTAGTTAGTTAGTTATTTTTATTATTATTTTTTTAATGGAGGTAGTGGGAATTGAACCCAGGACCTCCAGCATGCTAAGGACGTGCTCTGCAACTGAGCTATTCCTTCTCCTCCCCGTTTTTAGTATAAATATGTCCCAAGTATTTTATATAACTTAACATATACTTTAAAAAAAACCCAAATAATGAAATACTTGGGACACACCTGTGCAGCAATGACGCATGCTGACCTGAGGTTCAGGTGTAGCTGGGTGCCTTGTTCTTATCCAGCAACTCTCTCCCAGGGAGGGGGTCCCCCTTCTTTAAGGTCGGTTGCAGCCCTTTGGGGCCTTGGTCCCACCATCTCGAAAATGGGGGGAAGGCTGGATCCTCAGGTCTCCAAGGGGCATCGCATGTCCACAGATGAGGACGGAGGTGCAGGAAAGGAGGCCAGAGGCCCGAGCAGGCTGCCCCACCTCTGCCTGCAGCCCCGGCCCTGGCCTCTCCCTCCCTCCTGAAGCCCCCGCCCTCCTTCCCACCCCCAGGGCGGTGGTTCGTCAGCACCGGGAAGGACAACCTGCTCAATGCCTGGCGGACGCCCTACGGAGCCAGCATCTTCCAGGTACTTCATGACTGAGGTCCCCACCCTGGCAGGACGCCAGGTGCCTGGGGACACCGGATGTGGGGAGGGGGTTGAACAGAAGATCCGCCCCACCAGCGGGAGCTACTGAAGCAGGGCGGTCAGCCCGGGGCAAACCTGGGCACAGCCTGCTTTTGTTTTGTTTCTGTTTTGGTGGGGGTAATTAGGCTTTTGGGGTTTTAAAAATTTTTTTTCAAATGTGTTGCATTTTTTATTTATTTATTTTAGCGGAGAGGTAATTAGGTTTACTTATTTGTTTTCAGAGGAGGTATGGGGGATTGAACCCAGGACCGCATGCATGCTAAGCATGTGCTCTACCCCTGAGCGGTGCCCTGCCCCGTTTTGTTTAACTGTGACAAAATGCCTATAAAATTGGCCAGCTCAACCATGTCTAAGAGCACAGCTCAGCGGCGTGAAGCACACTCACACTGTTGTGCCACCCTCCCCCCCACCGTCTCCAGCACTTTCTCATCTTCCCAAACTGCAACTCTGTCCCCATGAAACACCGCCTCCCCAGCCCCGGCCCCACCATCTACTCTCTGCCTCTGTGGATGTGACTCCTCCAGGGACCTCCTGTGAGTGGACTCACACAAGCCTTATCCTTCTGTGTCTGGTTCTGTCACTGAGCATCACGTCCTCAAGGGTCACCCCTGTTGGTTCAGGAGTCAGAATCGCCTTCAGTTGTAAGGCTGACGTTCTGCTGTGTGGGTGGACCACGTTGTGTCCGTCCATCGTCTGTTCACGGACACTTGAGGTTGTGCCCACCTTTTGGCTGCTGTGACCACTCACGTACAGCTCCTTGTTCGATGTGTGTTTTCAAGTCTCCTGGGCGGGTATCTCGGGGTGGAACTGCTGATAACCATTAAATTTTGGAGGAACTGCAGACAGTTTTCTAGACTTCCCATTCCCATCAGCAGTGTAGGGGGGTTCTCTCGTCTCCCTGTCCTGGCCGCTTGTTATGGTGTCTTTCTTATAACCATCCTGTTGGACATGGAGTGGTTTTTACATTTTTAAAGGGTTGTGTAAAAAAAAAAGAGAGAGAGACAATGTGACGCAGATAGGTTTACTGGCCAGAGCTCATTTGGACTGAGGTGAGCTTTCAGGCCAAAGCTTGAAAATTTACTATCAGATCTTTTACAGAAAAAATTTGCCAAGTGCTGGTGTAGGTCATTCTGTTCTAGCCTTAGCCTGCTGTGTGTCCCCATGCCTGGTGCACACCCTCTCTGAGCTTCCCGGGAAAGGGCTGTTCTCCTGTTCCAGAGAACAGAGAACCTGCTCTTCCCAGGAGCCTCATCACCTGTCCAGTGGCTCAGCGCCAGAGGACCTTTCTCTGGAAAATGTTTCACCCTCCCCCACCTCCCCGGCTAGGAGAGTCTGGGCTCCACACTCTGGGCTCCCCCTCCCCGAATCCTGTCTTGGCCCCAGCCTGACCACAGGCTCACCCTTGGGGGCAGGCACTGCCCTGATCGCCTTGCCTCTTCCCTCTGCGTGTCGCGCAGGTGGTCAGCAGCCCGGACCTTCTGGTGCTGGCTGGGCCTCATTCTCCCTTCTCTCCCTCTCCCCCTTGCCAGTCCAAGGAGTCGTCCTCTGTGCTGAGCTGTGACATCTCCGGGAATAACAAATACATCGTGACGGGCTCGGGGGACAAGAAGGCCACCGTGTACGAGGTGGTCTACTGAGACCCCCTCTTCCTCACCCCCAGCCCAACTCTGGGGGGACGAGCACGAGGGGCCTCCTGGCCTGTGGTACCGTGAGCACTCAGTCTCATCCTCCCCTGCTGGATGTGGGCCGGATGCTCAGGGGGACTGTGGGGAAATAAATGTATTTATCACAACTGCCTTTCTGTCTTGGCCTAGGGAGCTAGGTATCGTTATGAGGGAAGATCACTTTCTGGTGCTGGGGCTGTGGGTCAGTGGCTCTCTTTCTCTCAGCCTCTTTTTCCTTACTTATCTGGACACTGAGGGAATTCATTCTGCATGAAATACTGCAGGGTGGACCACAAGAAATGGCTGTTGTATTGGGCCGTGTGGTTTCTGCTGTGCCGTGTAACAAATGGCCCCCCAGATCTTGGCTGAAACAATAGACATTTATTTCTCACTCACATCAGTGTGGCAGGAGGTACTCGACCCCAAGTAGGTGCTTAGGCTCCAGGATGGTGGAAGCTTTCACATCAAAGTGTAGCTTCTGGGGCCAACATAGCAGGGACAGTGAGTCATAGACAGCTTTTACAGCCCTGTCCCAAAAGCTTTACTGCCTGCTCTTTGGACAGAGTCATCCCAAGATGCTGCCCACACAAAGTGGGGGGTGGGATATGATGGAGCACAAAGCTATTTGGGGTGCATTCATGTTTCCTTTGAGACCCAGTGAGAAGTCCTCAGAGCTTGGTACATGATGCTTGGCCCACTGTCAGGTAATAAGCAGAGGTCACAGTCCCAGAGGAGGTGGGAGCTAAGAGAAGAGCTGTTCAGAAGAGTCATGGAAGGGTGTGCTAGGAACAGAGGCAACAGCATGTGCAAAGGCTCAGAGGTGAGGAGTTTGTGCTGGTGGAAACCAGGAAGTTTGGGGGGTGGGAGGGAAGGGGGTATTCCTCAACTCCAGCTCAGGCTGAAGCAGAGAATGCCCATGGCATTGTGAACCCAATTTGGGGAGGGGTCTGTGGGGGAGGTGAAGCCATCAGATCCGGGTTCTGGAAGCTCACGTGGGCTGCCACGAGGACTATGGGTTGGAGGGGGCTTGGGGGTGAACCAGAGCTCTGGGAAGTTTCTGGAGCGGGTGGTAGGGGGGCAGGGTCCCTGCTGGAAACAGTCAGGCCCAGAGGTTTCTGAAGGCAGTGGATGGAGGCAGGACAACTCTCCCGTGATGGAAACCAGACCCACTGGTGCTCTCTGGGATGCGGTGAGCACGTGGGCCCCACGGGGAGGGGCAGGGCGCTGGCCCGCAAGGGCCCCTGCTGTAAGCTAGTCGCCCCCCCCGCGGCACAGCTGGTGTTGGGGCTGTAGCGTAACTCTCTCTTCGGGGCGTCCTGGGCCCCCACCCGCCTGATGCCAGGAGCACTCCTGGCTGTGATGGCCACGTTTGTCCCCAGACATGGCCCAGTGTCCCCTGGGGGTTAGACTCACCCTGGGGGAGAAGCACCGGTCTAACAGGACCCAGGCATCTCGAGAAGGACGGAGGACTGTATGCCTGGGACGGCACAGGCAGTGGCTGGGAAATGGCCCTCCAGGACACGGGCAGAGGGGCTGTGGCACGGGAAGAAAGAAGGTCTCTGTGTCCACCTGCCCTGATTAGGGGTGGGGGGGGTCAGTGGCTCTGATCAAATTCTCAGGGGATGTGGACTCGAAAGGCTCAAAGTCCCAGGCTGGACAAAGTCCTTCCAAATCCCCACGAGATGGCCAGGGGACAAGGGGCAGGACGTAGCACCCAGTCAGCTTTTTCCAATTGCTTTATTACACGTGACCAAGATCACAGGCCCAGCCGTGCCCACCCAGCCCGTGGCGTGCCCTCAGTACGCGATCTGATACACCACAGCGTGGTCCCTGAACCCCGTGACCATCAGGTGGTTGCTGGCGGACACATCACAGCACGTGATGGAGGACGTCTCGGGTACCTGGGGGGGTTGGGAGCAGAGCAAGGGGGCTCATCCGTCCTTGCCCTTAACACCTGCCCATCAGTTCAAACATAGTCCCTCTTGTGCCCTCGCATCTGGACCCCTGGGCTCAGCCCCTAAGCGCCCAGGACACACGAGCACCGACCGCCCACCGGCCCCACCCCCATACCTGGACCACCGAGGTCCCTGTGGGCATGCTGTAGATGCTGACCAGGCCGTCTGTCCCCACACTCACCCACCAATGGCCTGGGAGGAGTCAGAGGGAACCCGGTCACAGGGAAGCTGGCAGCTAAGGGCCAGACCCCTGGGGAGCAGGGAACCCCACATCCCTCATGGCCCTGTGGGGAGTATCACTGAGGGTGGCTCCTGCTGATGAGGGCACGGGGGGGGTCAGGAAGGGTCAGAAAGGGCTGGGTGGAGTCCGTCTGAGTGATGCAGGGCACTGTGGGAGGCTGGGGACCACTGGGGACTCCCCCTGCCCCCTCCTGGCCACTCACCAAGTGGAGAGAACTTCAGGCCAAGGATGGTGCCATCCTTACGTCCCACCATGCGCTTCTGGCCCCCCCGAGTGGGCTGCAGCCACTGCCGGCCATTGGCTGTGCCCACCAGCACCCAGTCCTCCTTGGGGCTTGGGGACAGGCTCATTATCTGGGGAACAGGCAGCAGGGAGAAAGCTGATCAAGTCCCATTTGGCCCAAAAGGCGGCAGGAGCGCAGGCACCCACCCTGGGGGCTGACTGCCCACCCAGCTCCTGGCTGCCAGGCCCCAACAAGCAACTTTACACCTCTTGGCCTTGGTTGGCTCATCTGCAAAATGAGTGTGGTCCTCTCTATGTGATGAGATTATCACAGAGACTGAAGAAGAACAGGAATGCCTGACACAGAGCACAAAATCATCCGAGGAGGACACAGCTGATCGGGGAGGACGTCCCTCCCTTTACAGCATCACTAAGACTTGGGGCACAGCTCCCTCCTACCCTTCCCTGAAGCGCCCACCTCCTCTATCCAAGCCCAGCCGCTTCCTGGCTGAGCAGGCCCCATTCCACCTGCGCACCTGAGCCTCAAACGGGTATTCCTGGGGCTCCCTGGTGGTCCTCAGGTCCCAGCACCGCAGGCAGGCGTCCAGACCCCCCGTCCAGATGTTCTGGTCTTTGACAGCGATGCTCTTGGCTCCGTTCAAGTGCCCCGGCAGGTCCCTGGCCAGGAAAGGGCATCATGAGGTGGGCGGGGGTCGGGGCTGAGACTCTGGGGACACCACCTGCCTGTCACACCCACATGACAGATGGGAAAACTGAGGCAGACAAAAAGTACCATGACCAGGCTTGGAGGAAACAGCCCAGACAAGATTTGAACCCGGGTCTTCAACTCTCAAATGCGAGTTCCCAGAGGAAAGGGGCTTTGTGCTGGAGACTGCTGGGTCCCAGCTCAGGGGTCAAAGTGGGAAGGGGATCTCAGGATGACCCTGTCCACCCCCAGGCCACACCTGACCACGCTCTGGTTCCGCAGGTCCCAGATCCTGACGGTGCCATTGGTAAAGCCGGCAAAAGCCAGGCAGTCCTCGGGGCTGGCAGCCAAGGCCTGGCAGCTGAGGCCCGCACAGGGCAGCTCCGCTCTCACGTACAGGGAAGGCGCCATCAGGTCCCACAGGCTCACGCTGGCCAGGTTGTGGCCGCCCGTCAGCAGGGCTGTGCTATTTGAGAACAGCAGGCAGGTGCGCAGGTAGGCCCCAGGAATCTGGGGTGAGCGGAGCCTCGGGTGAGCTTCCTCTCCTGAGAGAGGCTCTCCTGGTGCCCACAAGTCCTGCCCCCCACCAGCCCCACCCTCACCTGTACAGGCAGGTAGCACTCCGGATACCAGGCCACCACCACCTGCTTGACCAGGCTCCACACCTTCACGCCACCCCTACCACAGGTGAAGGCGTGCCGTGTGAAGCTGCTGACAGCCGTGGCCAGCACAGGATCCCCGTGTTCTAGCCTCCGCTTCTTCTCCACTTGGTGTGGGACGGCCAGCTTCTTGGGTTGCCAGGGCAAGGCATCAGGCCTATTACTCGTGCTTTCAAAGTCCTCAGGATCCCAGCATCTTGGGAGGAGGAGCCCCAGGGTCACCAGCCTGCCTGCAAGCCTCTCTACCCAGAGGGGGTCACCTACCAAGCCCCACAAGGGCTTGGTTCTTTTTCAGATTTGGGGGTTCCTCCATACTTCCCTAAGGTCCTATCCACACCCCTCCAAGTATTCCCCTTCTCCCATAACCAAACACTGCTCCCTTCTGCCTGGAATGCTTTGCCCTATCCCAGCAAACTCCTACTCATCCTTCAAGGTCCTAACAATTATGCCCCTTCCTCCAGGAAACCTTCTCCCCAGTCTGGGCTCCCCGAGCCTCAGACCACAAGGTTGGGAGTGCCTGCATCCAGCTCTGACACAGCCCCCCTCCCTTCCCACTCCATGGGAGTTCCTTCCCCAAAGCCCTTGAACTCAAAGCTGGTTATGTGGGGAGGGGCAGTGATGCTGGTGTAATTATAACTTGAGTCACACTTCTCTACCCAGACCCCTCAAGCTGCAGTTACTGAGGACAGCACCTTGGTGATAGGGAAGAAGGAAGACACACCTACACCTCCGATCCCCATTTCCTGCCGGGCACAGAGGTACCCACACTCCACAGGGAGGAGGGGCAGTGCAGAAACTTACATGGGCTTCAGAAATTGATCCGCTCTCCCGGCAGCCTCCTGCAGGCAGATGAGATCACAGCTAAGCCACATCCTCCTCCGGCCCCAAGCCGCCCCCCCCCGCCTCCACATGGGGTGCCGGGTCTCACCCGAGCCGCGTGGGAGGACACCCCCTGGGCTACAGCGCCCCGTCCTGTGCTCTCTTCTCTGGAGCCCTCACAGCTGCTGGGGGAGGGCTTAGGTAGGCTGAGAACTGGGCAGAGACACGAGTGGATCAGAGGCAGGCATCCCCCTGCTCCTGGGGCAGGCTGCCCTCCCCACATCAGGATTACCCAGAGTGTCCTCGTTAAGTACTTCCACTCCCAGGCGTCGTGGTCCTGGGTTCTGGCTTTCCTGCCCGCGGGAGTTAGGGAGATTGGTTCAGACCAAAGGACCTGTCCAGGGTCAGTCTTAGAACCAGAACACGTTAGGAGGGTCCAGACAGTGTGGTTGGGACTCTCCAATGGTCTGAAGTCCATCCTCCCGTCCAGGCAGAGCTGCGGACAGGCTCTGGCACAATCCGGAGTCCTCTGAGGGTATCCAAGGGCTGAGGTGGAGGAGGTGGGCCCATCCCACAGGAACCCACGCGTCCCAGCCTGGGAGACAGGCCGGACGACACCCAGCCCAGCAGCTCACCCCTCTGGGTACTGAGGATTCCAGTTACTTACCAGCCCTGGCGCCTGGTCTGTCGCTATGCCAACGGGAGGGAGGAGAGGACAGAGTGGGAGATGGCAGGGCATCCAAGTTTAGCCCTGGCCGCCCCCCCGTCGTGGCCCGAGCCCCTCCTCCCCTCGCCCGCAGGGAGACTCACTCCTGAGGCCCAGGCGTTTCTCCTTCTCCTGGGTCCCAGCAAAGGTCCGCCAGAGTTCCTCAGTCAGAACATCCTGCCACAAGCGGGGCTCCGAGTCCCAGGACAGCCGCACATCTAGGTCGAGGTCGGCCTCGTCGTCCATGCCAGGGGGCTGTTGGAGCCAGTCGGAGGACCTCGTGGCCATGGTGTCTTCGAAGTTGGGCCCCTGGAGACTGGAGGGCTGCAGGGTCCTGACCCCTGCGTGCCGGGAGGCCTCGGGGCTGGCCGGCCCTTGGGAGCCCTGGCTGGCCTGCTCACCAGAGGACACCTGGCTCCCCTGGTGCTGGAAGAACATGTCACGAGGGACATGAGGATGTGTCCCGAGTCCCGAGCCCGCCCCCTCCCTCCTCGAGGCCCCGGGAGCCACCTCCCCCTGCTGCAAGCCCAGGGATCGGCTGCAGGCTCCCAGGAGCCGCAGGAAGTCCTCCGCCCAGAGGGGGGACGCCACCCGGCCAAAGCTTTGTCATCGGACAGGCCTGGGCTTGCGTCCCCTCCTACGAGCCAGAGTCCCCAGGGACACCCCACCTCCCTGGACCGTCCTTGGGTGGATTCGTGATCATGCCAGCCCTCCGAACCACACCTAGCTTAAAACAAACTCCTGGCGCCCAGAAGCCAGCCTTGACCTCGGGTGATAAAATCCAGCCCTAATGCCCACCAGTCACCAGGACCGTGTGGCAGAAAGTCAAGTCAGATCGGGGTTCGCAGCCCAGCTGCTTGTCTTGGGATGTTTGAAAAGCACAGCTGAACGCCAGCCCTTGCTTAAAAGGGCTTCAAGAAGCAAAGCTGTGTGTAGGCATGTCCCCCTGTGTGGGGACGACATTTGGATTTGTTTAAACCTTGCACAGGTCCTAAGACGCCGATGGGTCCCTCTTCGGTAGCGGGGCTGGCGACAGGGCAGCTGGGGGGCCTCGCTTGTGTGGCAGGTGGAGCCAGGTGACTACTGCCAATTCCAGATTTAAGTTAACAGTTTCTAAGGGGGCGGAAAGCACCCTGCATTTCATTGCCCCTCCTCCCAGCAGGCGGCCTGCCTGTCTGTTCCTCAAGAAGGGGCACCTTCCCACCCCCACTCCGCGGCCCTTCTCCACCGCCCGCAGACACGCGTACTCTGCTTGGAACCTCTCCTTCCACTAGACGGTGCCTCCCCGCACAGCGTGCCTGGCTATTTAAACGTCAAATACAATTCCAAACGCATCCCTCCAGTCCCGGCGGCCACGTTTCAAGGCTCAGTCGCCAGGTGGGGCCGGGGGCTGCCGCCGCAGCCAGCACAAACAGTAGGAACAAAGGCAGTGGTTTCTAGACGGCCCGGCCCACGGCTGAGGACACGCACCAAGCAAGACAGGAAGTTCCCTGCCAGAGCGGCCCGTCTGCCACAGGGAGACCCCCCTTTTCAGCCCGGTAGGGGGCTCTGTGGAAGGTATGTGTGTGCAGCTACATTCGGCCCAGGCAGGCAAAACGCAGTGCCACCAGGGATGTTCTGGACCTGCCTGTCTAGGGTGGTCGCTGTTGAGAGATTGAAATGTGAACAGTGACCTCGGCTGATGCCAATTAAAATTTAAATAGCCACGCGTGTCCTGTTGAAGAAGAGAACATGGATTTATCTTTGGCCTATGGCTCTGGAGGTGGTGGCCATGGTCTTATGACTGCACAGGCCCCTCCATGGTGGATGCCAGAACCCTGGGGAAATGCTCTGATTCACAGAGAGAAAGAATTGCTCAAGAGACGCAGTATAAGCGCCGTGGCTGTCTGTTATGTTCAACAGGCACTACTGGCGTTCCCATTCTGCAGATGAGAAAACTGAGGCTCAGGAATCAAAGCCAATTTCCCCAAAGTCAGGAGACATGGGGGCCAGCCGTGTTAATCTGCCTCCCCTGGCAGCCTGGTCCCACCCACTGCCCGTGGTGGGTGGGGGCCAACAGGAGGGTGGACGGAGAGGCTGTGATGTAGGACCCCTCCCTGAGCACTCAAGGCTGCTGCCTCCCAGGGCAGCCAGTGATGGATTCCCCAGCTGGGCCTCCCAGCAGTACAAGGCCCAGGGGAGCCTTCCCCAATTCGCCCTGGCTCGTTAATGCGCAATTTACTGGCACTTTAATGCACTCAGCATGAAAAGTGCTGCTCCCTCCTGCCTGCGAGCCGGCCCTCCCTGGGGAGAGCGGTGTGCAGGCAGGCAGGCAGGCGGCTGGGGAGCAGGCCCCCCCCACCCCCCCCACCCCCCCACCCCCGCTGCTGCCCGGGATTTTAACCGCACAGCAAGAAGGCTGGAAAACAAGGAGCAGGAAACAGGGGAGGGGGAGATGGTCTGTGCGGAAACACAATTCAGCCAGGAATCATCACCTGGGGCCTTCTGTGGGGGGCCGGGATGCTGGGTAGAGACCTTCCTGGACCCTCCTCTTCCCCTTACGCCTCGATACTCAGCAAGGGCTGTCAGTTTCCTCCCAAAGAACATCCACAGCGTGACTGCTCCTCACCACCAGGCCTCCGCAGCGTCCAGCATCCCACACCTGGACGGCTCTAACCAGTCCTCAACTCCTGTTCTGGCCCCCAGCTGTCCATCCTCCCTACAGCGGCCACCAGAGGGCACCTGCGAGCACCTGAACAAGGCCCGGCCCCTCCTCTGACCACAGCCCTCCAGGGCCCCTGCCTCCCTTAGGGTAAAAGCGCAAGTCCCCCCACAGCCCACAAGGCCCTGCAAGACCGCCTAGTCCCTTGCCTGCTCTTCACCTTCTCCCTCTTTCCGCCTGACTCACTCTGCTCCAGCCACACGGGCCTCCTCAACGTCCCTGCAACATGGCAGGCCCAGTCCTGCCTCAGGGACTTTGCACGAGTCGTGCCCTCTGCCTGGCCTACTCCTCATTCCAGACATCCACACTCCCTCTCTGATCTCCTTCCAGAGTCTACCCAAATATCACTTTCTCAGCCAGCCTTCCCCGACCATCCTGAATTGCAACCCACTCCCACCTCGGTCCCCCACATCCCCTTAGGACTGCTCAATTCTGCCCCCACCTAGCCCAGCCCTCACCACCTGACACTTCTGTTTACCAAGGTCCTCTCACCCCAAGGGCAGCGGTCTGTCTGTGTTCTCCTTCGCTATTTCCCTGGCGCCTATAACAGCACTTGGCAAGAAGGTGATGGATAAATATCTGTTGAATGAATAACCGTGTTCTGGTTGCTTCCCTGGCCCCCCGCCCCCTCCTGTCTTCCCCCTGATCCCTGAGCTACCCACCCCAGGCCCTGCTAAGTCGCAGACACAGCCCTGGCCCTCTGCCAGTCACATCTGGCACAGGCAGAAAGTCCTGCCAGCGCCCAGGAGAAAGGGGCCAGGTGGCGGGAGGACAGGCAGGGGAGGAAGTCATGCTTCAGCTCGGGCAAGGCGCCGGGGGCTGGGAGCTGGGCCCCCGGTGCAGGCTGCGCACCCCCCTCCCCGCAAGTGTAAGCCAGGCCCTTGAGAATCGCAGACACATGGAGACCGCATCCGGCCGTGCCTGGCACATAACAGCCCCTTCGGAGCAGAGGTGACTAACCTGCAACATGCTGACAGGCCCCTGGCCTTGTCCAGCCACACAGGCACTGGTCAGCGGGCCAGGAGGCAAGAGGCTCAGAGAGCGCGGGTTTGCACTCCTGATTTGTGGGGCCCCACGGATACCCTGGGTATTTCATGTTAGGTCTCACCCTCCTCTGCCCACAGCCCTCCAGGGCTCCCACCTCCCTGGGGATAAAAGCCCACGTCCTCCCCGAGGCCCACAGGCCCTGCACGACCTGCCCTGTCCCCTCCTCCCTCTTACTGCCTTCCTCCTGCCTTGCAAGGAGGGGCAGCCCTCCCCCACCAAACTCCTGGTCCCTTGTTCACCTGCTTGTGATGTTCCTGGAGACCTTGCTGAATCTTCTGGAACTGCAAAGGGACAACAGAAATCACACTGGGAGTTGGTCGACAGAAGCTGACAAGAGTGCAGGACTGAATGCTGAGGGTGCTTCTCCCTGGCTGTGTGACCCTGGGCAAGCTGTGCCACCTCTCTGGTCCCTGCTCTCATCAAATGAGATACCACCTACCACACTCCGAGTGGGAGGTAATGAGGGAGACCCCTGGCTTTCATTTTATGAAATGACATGATTTGAAGGTCAAAGGCCTCTGAATAGGCCCTGCATGACCTGCCCCCTCCCTCCCCCACACTGCTCCAGTCACATGGGCCTCCGACCCCCAGGCATGGTCATGCCCCAGGACCTTTGCACATGCTGTACCCTCTGCCTGCACGACCTTCCCTGTTCTCTCTAGGTTGGGCAGAATATCTTCTCTTCCAGGTCTTACTTGAATGTCTCTTCCTCCAAGAAGCCCTTCCTGACTACAATAGCTCAAAATCTTTACTCACTTTCACTCCATCACCTTCTCCTTTCGTGTTAGCACTTACATTTTGAGAATCTCATTTCTCTACTTGTCTCTCTCCTTCCCTTAGAGCTATCTGGTCCACTGAGGTAACCACTAGTCAAATGTGGCTCTTTAAGTTTAAATCAATTAAAATTCAGCTCCTTATAAGTGTTCAATAACCACATGTGGCTAGCGGGTGTCATACTGGACCCTACTGATGTGGAACATTCCTATCATCATGGAAGGTTCTAGAAGACAGCACACACTAGAACACACACTCCTGAAGGGCAGGGACTCCTGTCTTGTGTTGTAGCCCTAACTGACCAACTGTGGCCCGAAGAAACATCTTAACTTAAATATGGAATTACTCGCTTTCACAGCAAGGTTTTTATTAACTAACAAAAATTCACATGAAGCGGGGGCTCAGTGGGTTAATTCACCTGCGTAAAGCAAAAGAAAGTAGAGGAGAGTGTCCCCAAGCCTGGCTCCTGAGGCCAAACAGAGCGGCCTTTCCAGGCGGTTCCTGAAGGGCTGCCTAGGGTGGGATGGGGGGGCGTGGGGCTGCCTGGCTTGGGGCGGGGCTCACCGAGCAGCAAGCGCTCTCCATCTGTGTCGTCAAGTGCGTGGGGAACCTGCCAGGGAAGGCAGACCCCACTGGAAGAGGAGGCCTCCAGACCCTTCCCCAGAATGTGCCCTGTCCCCAGCCCCCAACAGGGCAGCTCCAGCAAGTGAGCCAGTCCTTTCCAGGTGCCACACTAAAGGTGGCTTCAAGATGAATATGTTGTTAATGTGGTATTTTCCAAAATAGAACTGAATACAAGCAAATTCACACTCGACAATAAAAAATCAAAAATGTAAGTGAAAGCCAGCATTGATATTACTGGGGTTCCTTTCCTTTGGCTTTGGCCTTCAGTACAGCCGCCCCGCACTCCAGCCGCTTACTGGTCCTGTCTTTGGGGTCTTGGAGGTGGTAGAGGACGGAATTCTGTCCTGCCACAGGGCGACCTCCCGCCCTCGCCCCGCCCCTCCCCCAGGACTGCCCACACCTGGGGAACTGCTGCTGGAGCTGCTCCAGGGCGCCCCGATAGCTCTGGGCTGGGAGGCTGGCCTCGGGGAGGCTGGCCTCAGGATGAACCTGCAGAGGTCAAGGAGGGATCAAGAAAACCCGCAGCCTCCCAGCATCCCCAAAAACAGCGCACAGCCTCAAGCAGCCTGAAGAGGGTGGGGCGGGGCCTCCTGAGTCCTGAAGGTCACGTGCTCCCTTATCACTTAAGTACCTACAGGATATCTTCCATTTTACGTCTTGGCCTCAATTGAAAATATTTACTCTCTGGCCCTGTACCGAAGAAGTTTGCCTTCCCCAGCCCAGAAGTGTTAGCAATGGTCTTCTCTGGGAAGTAGTGGTGTGGTGGTGGGGAGGGGGCATTTGCTTGTAAAACATTAACTCAATATATGATGTAGGCCTATGTTTTATCACCTAGGTGATAAGTTTAATTTAAAAAAGAAAATGCCTTAACAGTGTGAGGAGATGGTGTCCCCAGCTTAAAGGCCTGGCCACACCACCCAAGTCTCTCCCTCAGGAGCAGAACTAGATTTAAGCCCAGCCTCTTCTCCCTCCCCCGAGGGGCTGCTGCCACACCATGCCCTCCTCACCAAAGTTCCTGGGGGCCTCGCCATCCTTTGAGGGAACTCCTTGTGGGGCTGCGATGGACCCAAGAGGTCATCCTCAGGCATTGGTCACAAGGACTGTAGCCAGGACCCTACAAGTAGCAAGGAAATGGCAGAACATGAGTGCAGAAGGCTGGGCAGTGGCAGGGGCAAAACCAGCCCCTCCCCACCCTCTCCCACCGCCCATTGTGGTCTCCCCTCCAGGACCCAGTCCCGGCCCCCCCGGCCCCTCCCTGACCGCCAGCACCCCACTGCACAGCACTGCTACATCGTGTGTTCATTCATCCAACACTCTGGTGCTTCCAGCCTCGCTGAATAATTGTAGGGACCGCTGGGGCCTCGCCCTATGAGGTGGGTCGTAATGGTGCCGAACACATACACTTACTGCCAGGAGCAGCCAGGGCTAGGGGAGCCCTAGAGAAGCATGCCAAAGCTCAACCTTAGTTGTGAGACAACTTCCCAAATCACGGGAGAACGTCATTTGGAAAGGGGTTTTGAAGGATAAGTAAGAGTTGGCCAGGTGAATTAGTAGCAATTGCTCAGACAGGAGAAAAGAGACCTTTCTCTACTCCAATCACTTCTGTGGCACCCAGCCCCTTCTTGACTTCGCTTCTGCCCCTTAGCACCCCTCCAGCTGAGGGACTCTGCCAGCCCAGGGACCCTGGGGTCCTCCAGGAGGCCGGTGGGCCTACCCGCCTCCCTTAGGATGGTGGTCCTGGAGGAGCAAGGAGGAAGCCGCGAGGGTCAGCCAAGTTCAGGCCTAGAGGATGCACCTCCCCCTATCCCCAGGGGCCAATTGACCCATCGGGCCCCGCCCC